GATCAATTAGGCTCTACGATGGTTCAGTGGTTGATATGGCTCCTGTAGCTCAGTGGTAGAGCGCCTGTCTCGTAAACAGGAGGTCCAGTGTTCGAGTCACTGCCGGAGCAGTAATGCATTGTTACGCGTTTCTTTTTCCGTGTAATTCTTCGGCTGGAAGTAACACGCGTTGTTCGCTAATTGATCGCGTCACTTAAAAGCATCTTCGCTGAACAACCCGTCTCAGGTTCCTAGTATACTGTTTCTTTAAAAGGTTTTCCGCTCCTTGCCATATCACTGGTCGCCGCATTGCCACCGCTAAGAAGCTTTAGTGATATCCGAAACAATGTCATCCAATTCCCATAAAGACAAACTGAAAAAGCAGGGACGGAGCTAAAAAGAACGGGCTGTTGTGGGAATCGAACCCACGGCCACCATCACCCTAAGATGGTATCATACCACTAGACCAAACGGCCACTGCTGCCTTTGTCTTCACCGTTGGCCTCTCTAAACTCTAAGCTCCAAAACTCCTTTTCCGCCCCTCCCTCACTCCTCTTTTTCTTCCACTTAACACAGTTCATTTCAATACAAGCTTTTTCGTTTCTATATCAGTTGCCCTCCATAAGCCTCTCTATTCCACCCAAGGGGACGGTGCTGTATTTCCCGCCCGCCTCTTGTTGGTAGGGTAGTTGAACTTGCTGTATCGTTTTCCTGTCGTATGTTGTAGGGTAGTTGAACTTGCTGTATCGTTTCCGATTGTGTGATCGCCGCCGTGTAGAGTAAGCGAGAGAGAGGATGTCAGAGGGCAAATTGCAGGGGGCTGAAAGACAAAGACAAAGACAAAGACAAAGACAAAGACAAAGGCAAATGGAAATGGAAATTGGAAATAAGGTACGTGTACCGGCAAAGCCGGTGGTTGTCAATTTGCTTTAATTTTTTGTATTCGCTTTTCAGGCTGCGGGGACAGTGCTGTCCTGCCGACAAGCTGTCTGCAGAATGAATGCGGTAGTACGGAAGAATTTGATGCTGCACAGCGAACAGCGTGCAACCAGCCAAGTGATCTAATAAGTACGATATTGAGTAGTGATCTCAGTAAAGTGAATTGATGTTGAGAGAAACGCTAAAGTACGTGGAAACGATAACGGTAATGTATGTACAGCGTGGCAGAATGTGTGAAGACGGCCGTTTGGTCTAGTGGTATGATACCATCTTAGGGTGATGGTGGTCGTGGGTTCGATTCCCACAACAGCCCGTTCTTTTCTCGCCCGTAGGCTTTCTTGCTACACGATTTTTGCTTTTCTCCGATGTTTGAGTGCACACTTTTGTCGCGTAACAGCAAGCTGTACCAGACACGCGAACCAATAGGGAAAAAGAAAAAGCTATGCCCACACCAGGAATCGAACCTGGGTTGCAACGGCCACAACGTTGAGTCTTGACCACTGGACCATGTGAGCTTCTCATGCCCCTTCTTCCATTTCACCCTACATTAAGCAGTCCTTTTAATTTATGTAGGCACTTACCACTACCAAGGTATATCCATCTAACTAGTTCTCCTTTTGCCTTTCCCCTCTCTTTGCCTTTCATATCTCTTTACCTTTCATACTAACTTGCATTCCTAATCATTCTGTTCTGTTCTGTTCTGTTCTGTTCTGTTCTGTTTATTTTATTGTATTTCTTAGATTTTTATTTTTATTTTTATTTTTTACTTTGTACTTTTTACTTTTTGCTTTTTATTTTTTCTTGATTGTTATTTCCTTTTTATTTTTTGCGTTTTATTTTTTATTTTTTATTTTTTATTTTTTATTTTTTATTTTTTATTTTTTATTTTTTATTTTTTATTATGTATCAAACGAAAGTATAAGTTTTAAGAACTTATACACTAAAGGATAGGAGAATAGAACTTGTTTTATTAGTAGTTTCTATTCTAATATTTATACTAATTATTGTTGCTATTATTAGCAACAATGTGACTGGTCATTCCCTTTTTGGAAAGGGTATGACAGAAGTGCAAGAATTGCAACTCGAGAAAGGGTATGACCGAAAAACATTTTTGTACATCGTCTGAAAACGACTAAGTTTTTCGGAATTGCACATGAAAGTATGCAAAGTGCGTTTTCTAGAAACGCGAATAACTCCTTACGAAGTCATCCTAGAGACTTCGTAACACCGACGCTCTCTCTCGCGTACAACTAAACGCAATCTCGCCCATCCAAGACGAGGAGGACCTGGACAACATCCGAGGAGCGTACGACGCCGAAGATACTAAGGACCTCAAAGACATCATTGACAATCTGCGAGCAGGAAACGAAGACCCGCACAACTCACCAATAGTCAAATACAAATGGGAAAACAGACTACTATTCTTCAGGAACAACTCGGAAAGCGACTGGAAACTTTGCGTCGCAGGAAGAAGGAACAAAGACAAATTACTCCACGATCACCAC